GGCTTCTGCTGTCTGCCTCTGATTGGTGCAGGAAACAATGAATGAGTTTGATGAGTAGGGAGGTCCTGGCTGGAGAGACACGAGGCTTCAGCTGTGATCTGTGTGGCGGAGATGTGGGGAGATTGATTTCCTGCTGAGACGCCAGCGTAACAGGCATGTGCTTTTAAAGGATTAAAAATGTGTTTTATTCTGCGATGTTTAATCATCATTTAATCATTAATTGGGTTTTTGCTGTCTGTACTTTGCAGTGACTGTCTCCTGCTGTCCTTTTTTTTTTTCTTTGTAGGGTTTATTTGTTTTAGTTGGTCTGCTCGGCCTTGCAGGGCCTGTAGATGAAAAGAGCTGGAGAACAGACTAACTCCTTTTATTTATTTATTTTTATTGTTTTGTTTGTTTTTCTCACTTCCCTGTTTTTGCTCCACAGTGGATAATTATCAACTTCAGTCCCTAGAAGTACTGAGACCAGACTTATGTGTGCTGCTTATGGTTACAGTGAATTGATTCTAGTGCTACTTGATGTTTATATTAGTGGTGTTTTGAGCATGCACTGATGTTCACCCCTGGTTTATCGGACTCACGTGCACTAGGTGTTTATGTTATATATGATTAGACCCTATTCAGATGCACAGGATGGTGATTTCATGATATGCACTGTGAATAATAAATATTAACATTTGTACAGCTTCCTTCCTTTTCCTCTGATTTATTTAGTGCGTGGCATGTGGTGCCAGGTTCAACATTAAAACAATATTAGGGCATCTGAGCTTCACTTTGATCCCAGATTCAGTTTAAATTTAGTCAACTAGACAGAAAACAACCACAAAATTACACGGCGTGCGTGTTGGCCGGGGTGGAAACGCGCTCTGGCTGAGACTCGGAGCACTCGTGTAAAATTTCAGGCCGGTGGAGCACAGACACAGCACGTCTCGTATTCTGGTGCGGACCATTTTACTAACGTGTAGTCACCACCTCATGTAGTTTGTGCTGGCCAAATTTCAGGTGTGTACGACCTTCCCTGTAGGAGGAGATAGATT